CTTTCTGTGATCTTGTGTCACCTGTACTCTCATTACTCTGCGTTGTTATTCATTTAGATTGCCTATCTCCACTTGATTGTTCTTCCGGTTTTTTATCTTGTTCCTTCATCTAGAACATACTTCTCTGCTGTTTTATTTTGTGTAACTTCCTGTGTTTGTGGTTTCCTTTACTCAGGCAGCAGGATCATAGTTCCTCTTGCTTCAGGTGTCTTCTGCCCCTTGGTGGGTGAGGTTGGTCCAGGGGCTAGTGCAGGCTTCCTGGTGGAAGGGACTCGTGCCTACCCCCTGGTGGATAGAGCTAGGTCTTGTCTGTTTAGTGGGCAGAACCATGTCAAGGGGTGTGTTTAGAGGTGGCTGTGAGCTCAGTACAACTTTAACAGCCTGTCTGCTGATGATTGGAGCTGTGTTCTCCCCCATTGCTGGTGGTTTGGCTTGAGGCATCCCAGCACTGGACCCTACAGGCTGTTGGGTGGGGCAAGGTCTTGGTGCCAAAATGACTACCCCTGGGAGAGCTCACGTTGATCAGGATTCTCTGGGCCTTCACTGCCAGTGTCCTTGCCCCCATAGCGAGCCACAGTTGACCCCCACAACCCCAGGAGAGCCTCCAGCACCCACAGGTAGACGTAGCCCAGGCTTGTGTGGAGCCACTGCTTCGTGCTGGGTCCCAGTGCATGTGAAATCTCGTCCCTCTAAGAGTGGAGTCTCTGTCGCCCCCAGTCCTGTGGAGTTCCTGCACAGGAGGAGGTCCTCCTGGCCCGCAAAACAGAACTCGGTGCTCTGGGAGCTCCTGCTCCTGATGTCGGACCCTCAGACTGGAGAAGTTGATGTGGGGCTCAGAGCTCTCACTCCTGTGGAAGCTCTGCTGTATAATTATTTTCCAGTTGTGGGTCACCTTCCCAGTGGATGTGGGGTTTGGTGATGGGGGTGTGCGGGTGCAGTGGCCTAGGCCCGCTCCCGGTAGGGTGGGGGCAGCCGTCGGCCCCTGCTCAGAGTCTCCCAGTGGCCCGTGCACCCCGGGACAGCAGGGCCGTGACTGGCGCCTGCTCTGGGTTGCTTAGTGATGGTGGCAGCGTGCACACTCGCAGGACAGCAGGGGCAGCAATCGGCCCCTGCTCCCGTGTCTCCCATTCTTTGTTCTCTTACGCAGAATGGCCTTGGCTATTCTCGGAATGTTACTGTTCCAGATTAAATTTTGATATCATTGTCAGGCTCCACAAAAACTGTTGGTTTTGCCTTCATTTCTTGAATGAAGGTTAGCTTTTAAAGCTTAATGCCTCAAAAAGGAGGATGAAGGGGAGCAGAACATGCCATCACCAAATATGCCTCTTTAGCAAAGGGATTATTTTGACCAGGTTATTTTCAAAAAAAGCTCTAAAAATCTAGTAGAAATTACTCATTTGCAGGAGACCTTTACATTTATGACATAAACTTTTATTTGTAAGGGTCTGTCTCCTAATCTGTACCAGAAAGAGAAAGATGACTCTAAATCACAGGAAACTCTTATCAATGGAGAAGATACCCAGCTCAAATCTGCATAACAACGTTACCCCATTTACTAGGTTTTTCCTGGTAACTTCTCACAACTAGCCTTCTCCCAACATTCTTCTGGTGTCTTTAGCTGAAAAAGGTATTTAAGGTGATGGCTTGGGCCATTGATGGAGTTACTCAGTTTTCCAGGGTGTCTCACGTGTAAATAGGAGGTATATATGTTATTTGTTTTCTATTTGTTTTTCTCCTGTTAATCTGTCTTTTATTATAGGGGTGGGGTCTCAACTAAGAACCTAGAATGGTGGGGGGGGTAATCTTTCTTCCCCACTTGACAGTTGGGTGACCCATGATGGGACCTGCTGAAACACTGTACTTCCTTCGGAGCCTGAAGATGGGAACCTGGAAAACTGGCAGAAGCCAGCAAAGGGTAAGAATTCTTACAGAAGTAATCTCTCTCAGATCTCTCTATAAGGCTCAGTTGAGAGAGGAAGAGGAACTTGCACCTTATTCTTTCCTTTCCAAATTTAGATTTATAGAAGAAAATGTTCATGTGAATTAGTTCCTTGAGTATGAAGACTCTGATAGAGATTTTGTTATAAGTACTCTTCTTTTCTGTTGATCCCTTTCCCTTCCAGAGATGGTCACTGACTTACATTGTCTGTCCTTTGTGTCATTTTTCATGAGGAGGAGAAGCGTAGTCAAGATAAGGTTTTCCTTTCATCTTGTTCTTTGTCTCGAGAGCTTGGCTTTTCAACTGGCAGGAAAACTACCTCTAGTCATCACCAGCTGGAAGATGCTAGCATCGACGTGTACCTGGCAGCCACACAGTAGGATGGAGATTTGAAACACACAGTGACAGGTAGCGTTCCCACTGTGCCAGCTCTCAGGAGAATTTGTCTGAAGGGGCCCCAGTCCACAAGGGGCCAACCTTTGTTTGCATGTCAACCTTTGTTGTCTTGTTAGTGGTAGAAAAGTCCCATTCCACTAGTGTCTGCCTGGTATTACAGATTAGCAGATTTGTGACAAAGAGGGTCTTTAATTTCTTAGGGTTAACTCTGGGGATGAACTTTCTAGATCTTATGATCTTTTGCATCCCCTTAGGGCACACCTCTTGTACCCACAGTTAAGCCATAAAAAGGTTTATTGATTTGAGTTGCTGTTGAGATTAATATAATACCACTGAAGATCCTACTCATCAATGGCCAGATGATGGATCTTTTGAATTGGAAAAACTTTTGTATTTGAAAAAAATTTTAGGGACCTCTTACTCTAAAGAATTGTCTTATTGGTACCTATGGGAAGATGAAGTTGAAAAGTAGACACAAAGGAATATTGTGTCTAGCCTTTGTGCTTAGATGCTCAGTTGTGTCCAGTTTTTTGTGACCCCCATGGACTGTAGCCTGCCAGTCACCTCTGTCCATAGGGATTCTCCAGGCAGGAACACTGGAGTGGGTTGCCATGCCCTCTTCCAGGGGATCTTCCCAACCCAGGGATCAAACCCAGGTTTCTCACATTGCAGACAGATTCTTTACCAACTGAGCCACCAGTCAAGGGTTTAGTGCAATTTGTCTTTGTAAAGTCTGTATAAAGCATTCAATACAGAGGCCTCTGAATTCGCGTCTTGAGTGTACAATCCAACTTTGAACAACTTTTGCTTCTATCAACCCCTCAACACTGACCTTTAACAAGATACACAAAGCCCCTTTTGCCTACACTTTCAGAAGTTCCTACCAGATTTAGAAAAGAGTTAGGATCAATGGCCATTCACAACCTCACAAGGACCTTTTTAAACATTTTTTTTTAAAGAATATTTTATTTGGCTGTGCCAGGTCTTAGTTGCTGCGTGTGGGATCTTTGTGGTGGTATGTGGGGTCTAGTTCCCTGACCAGGGATCAAATCCAGACCCTCTACATTGGGAGCAGAGTCTTAACTGCTACACCACCAAGGAGGACCCACAGGACCTTGATTGGATGTTCAAAGGTATTCTTCTCATCTGTAATTATACTGCAGTTATCAGACAAGCCAGACAGTCCCCTAGTAGATGGACCTCCCAACTGCACCCCAAGGAAATGACCAGAATGTCTCTCAAGCTGTCCTGCAGATGATCAAGAAATGGATCAGCTGGAGGTCAGTGTTTAGGGGTTGATAGAAGCAAAAGCTGTTCAAAGTTGGATTGTACACTCAAGGAGTGCATTCAGAGGCCTCTGTATTGAATGCTTTATACAGACTTTCCCAAGACAAATTGCACTAAACCCTAAAGCTCCAGGACATAGGAGTCTTTTTATTTCCTTCTTAGTTGGAATGGAAAGCTTCTCCTTGGCAAAAAGGGAATGATTGTAAACAGAAAAATGATACTTCAGGAAATAACATACTCTTATGGCTATAAAGTTCTAGTCCTATTAATTGTCTGTTTCCTTTTTTACCTATAAAGTAGACGGGATCCTGAATTATTCTACTTTCCTCAAATAATCTGGCTACATCTCTTCAAACTGTTTCCAGTTTTCTTCCACTCTTTTGACTTGGAATCAAAGCCAAATTGTTATGACATTCCTAGAAATCTAATGTGCTTAGATGCTCAGTTGTGTCCAAGACTTTGCCACCCAATGGACTGTAGCCTCTGTCCATGGGATTCCCCCTGCAAGATACTAGAGTGGGGTGCCATTTCCTCCTCCAGAGGATCTTCACAACCCAAGGATCAAACCTAAGTCTCTTATATCTCCTGCATTGGCAGGCAGATTCATTACCACTAGTACCACCTGGGAAGCCAGGTAAGAAATCTGATATGTCCTTATATATTAATAGTATCATCATTTGTAATTCTAGTTTTCTTAAAATGTATGTCATAGAAATAACCATATTTCTTTGCCAACTGACAAAGGCTCATCAGTTTTTTTAATCATGACTCTTTTTAAGTCTTTTGTCATTTATGAAAGTTATTGTTTTGCTTTTACAAAAGTATTTCCCAAAGTCCTGCAAACTGGATGTTAAGTGGATTGATACAGACTTCAGAGAAACAGCCCAAATGGCTCATGTTTAGATCATCTTTGTGCCTGATGCTCTGTGGGCCACTCAGGAAGTTTACCTGAACATCTGATGACATCAGAGGCATTCAAACTTGGAAGATGCTTCAGCTCCAACATCTAGAAATCTGATCAGGGGCCTTCAGGACTCAGGCTGAGTTTATAGTTTGCCGCAACCACTAACTTCTGTTTTTCTTTTGTTTCCATAGACATGCTTGTTGATAAGTACCTAATTGCTCACACCATTTAAGGCTAACTTCGGGACCCCACCTGCAACACTAGCTCCTGAAATGAGACAGCTGTTCAACTGAACTGACCTACTTTCAAGACTAAGAGGTTGGTTCAATGAAATAATAGTCTATCAACTTAGCTTCTGGACTATAAAACTTCACTGAACTTTTAAAGACAGGACTGAAGGGGAACAGAGTATGTGACCCAAATATACACCTCTTTAGTATAAGAATTACTTAGAGCTGATTTTTAAACTAGTTAATTTATTTATTTTAGGTCCTTTCCCATATAGGTCATTACAGAGTAGTGAGCAGAGTTCCCTGTGCTCTCTGGCAGGTTCTTATAGCTCTCTATTTTATATAGTGTGTAGGTGCCAATCCCACTCTCTAAGTTCATCCCCCCTCCTCGGCAACCGTTAAGTTTGTTTTCTACAAATACAAAAGTATTTCCCAAAGTCCTGCGAACTAAATGTTAAGTGGATTGCTATAAACTTCAGAGAAACAGCCCAAACGGCTCATGTTTAGATCATCTTTGTGCCTGATGCTCTGTGGGCCACTCAGGGAGTTTACCTGAACATCTGATGACATCAGAGGCATTCAAACTTGGAAGATGCCTCAGCTCCAACATCTAGACATCTATGACTCTATTTCTGTTCTGTAAATAAGTTCATTTATACCGTTTTTTTAGATTTCACATATAAGTGATGACATACACTTGTCCTCCTCTGACCTCACTCAGTACGATAATCTCTAGGTCGATCTATGTTGCTGCGCGTGGCACTGCTCTGTTCATTTCCGTAGCTGAGTGGTATTCCAGTGTATGTGTGTGCCGCAGCTCCTTCACCCATTCAGCTGTTGATGGACATTTAGGGCGCTTCTGTGTCTTGGCTATGGTAGATGGTGCTGCTGTGAACATTGGGATGCATATTATCTTCACGTTATGGTTTTCTTGGATATATGCTCAGGAGTAGGATTGCTGGATCTTATGGTAGTTCTGTTTTTAGTTTTCTGAGGAACCTCTGTTCTGTTCTCCATAGTAGCTGCACTGATTTACATTCCCACCAACAGTGTTTGAGGGTTCCCTTTCCTCCACATCCTCTCCAGCATTTATTGTTTGTAGATTTTTTGATGATGGCCCTTGTGACCGGTGTGAAGAAGTACCTCATGATAGTTCTGATTTGCATTTCTCTACTAATTAATGATGTTGAGCATCTTTTCATGTGCTTTTGGTGATTGTTTTTTAGAAACAAGAGACACAGGAAAAGCTCTGAAAATCTAGTAGAAGTTACCCTTTTGTAAGGGAAATATACATTTATTTTAAGGAACTCTCCATTTTAAATGTGTCTCCTCCTCTGTTCCTAGAAGGGTGATTCTAAATGACAAATTATCAATGTAGAAGGTGCCCATCTTAATTCAGCTAAACAACCTCACCCTTTTTTATTGTGCTTTACCTATTAACCTCCCATAAATGACCTTCTCTTCTCCTCCATCTTTCTTGCATCTTCAGCTGAAGAAAGTATTTAAGGTGATGGCTTGAATCATTTTAGTAGAGTTAAACTCAGTTTTCCAGGATATCTCCCATGTATACAGGAGGATACATGGTGTTAGGCTTACATTATTTTATTATTAGAGGGGTGAGGTCTCAGCCAAGAACCTGGAAGGGTGGAAGGAAAATTATTTTACCTCCCCGATAGGGACATTTAGGAAGTTTCTGAGTTATTAAAATCACAGCATTTTTCTTTTTAGGAGCAGAACTATCAGTCAACCATGAGCTCAAAGAAACATAATCCAGTGCTAATGGCAAAATGGTATATTCTTAGCCTCCTCAGAAAGGCACGACATACATGGTTCAAACAGCAAATCTGTGGTAGCCTTCAGAACTCTGGCAGAGGGTACAGTACATTTGTTAAACAATTTGGGCTGTTAGCTGTTTCATAAGTTTATAAGGCCTGGTCATCTCCATTAGAATATATACATGTGTGTAAGTTTTCACCACACATTTTTCACCAGTACAGCATAATACTATCCAGAGTCCATAGTAATCAAACTATGGCAAAACTAAATTAGAGGTACTGATACAATCATTAATTTGACTTAGAAAGTTAACACAAAGAAAAACAAACTTAAAAAAAAAATCTTTGGTTGCATGTTGAATACTTCAGCATGAAGAGAGAAAAACAGTTACAATATTTAATTTTTAAAAAAGGTTACCTAACCAATACTAGAGGTCTCAAAGCAGGATCTATAAATTGACAGGCTCCTCTGTTATGTGATTTTTCTAATGGCACACACACTTCAATTAAAAAAAAAAACCATAAATCACAGTGGCTTTTTAGAATTCTGTAGAATACCAAATTCAAAAATTATACAAAAAACCTTACAGCTTAAAGTTAAGAAAAGAAATGTAAAAGCAAGACTTTGAAGACATTTTGCTGAATTCAAACATCTTACAAGCTCCATCACCCATCCCCGTGGCTGCATGATGGACTTGGCGCCACCTAGTGGGCTGAGCTGGGTGATGTCAGAGCACTTGCAAATAAATCCGGTTTTCTGGCCCGGGTGAGGGGGGTGCCCAGCAGCTTTTACACCAGGTTGAATTCCCTCAGGTTTAGTTGTAGAATTGTGTCTTTCACAGCAGCAAACACAAAGCGGATATTCTCTGTGTCTGTAGCACATGTGAAGTGGGAATAGATGACTTTCTCTTTGTCAGGATTCTGATCTTGATAAAGCTTCAGGATAAAGTCTCTGGCAGCTTTGACATCTTGCTTTGGTCCTGTCATGAGGGCAGTCAGAATCAAAAAGAAAGATACCAACTCACCACCAGGTCCTCTCAAAAGTCATATTCAGTGTACTCTTCTTGTTCTTACTAGGAATCCTTCTTTGAGCCATCTTATTTCTAGGGGCTTTTTTACTTGGGGCATTATTTTGTTATGAACTTGCAGAAGGGTATTTTAAGTGTCCACTGGTATCTAAAAATCATACTTGAAAGAGATTTGTTGAAAAATAGTGACCTAATTTAATTTTCTGATTTGGACCATTTTTGAAGAGGTAATTACTCTTTAAAAATCTACTGATTTATTTGGCTGCACCAGGTCTTAGTTGCAGCATGTGGGATGTAGTTCCCGCTCCACTGTGAGTGCAGAGTCTTAGCCACTGGACCACCAGGGAAGTCCCTGAAGAGGTGGTTCTTAAGTGAAGTGGAGGAGGGAACAGAGAGAATATGGGGAGCGGAGCGCCCAAGTCTGATTGTGAAGCCTGAGAGCTGTATGCTACATTGTCCGTGTGGTTAATAAAAGGAAAAGGGGGAGCGTTTAAACACCACTTGTCTAAATATCAGTATCAAACTTGGTAATGTTTCTGCACCAGAATTAATTAGCGACAGGGTCTAAACTCTCCCTCTGCCTTGGAGAGGTCATAAAGATAACGTCCGTGTCCGCCCTGTCTGGTGAAGGGGCGGCCACATTTCGGCACTAGAAGTGCTGAGATGAGTCAGGCACAGTCTCTGCCCTCAGGGTCTGCTGGGACAAGACAGCTGGAGGCAGAGAGGGCCACACAAGCCCAGGCCCCCAGGGGAGCTTGCGGGGGCGTACCTACTGTGGAAGGAGGTGGGGTGAGGATCAGAAGGCCTTCCCAAAGGAGGAGGTGCCTGATTGGGGTCTCAGAGAACAAAGCAGAATTAGCAAGGGAGTTGGCAGCACATCCCAGGCAAGAGGAGAGGCGTGTGCAGAGGTGCTGAGGTGCAAACACGCTGATTTGACTGGGGCTTCCATTCAGAAGTGAGGGATGGTAAGAAAGTCTGCTAGAGGCAGATCAAGGAGGCCCAGATAAGCTATGCTGAGAGCTCTGAACTGGTGCCAGGGAGGTCAGGGCCACAGGATGGACACTTACTTACCAGTGTATTCTGGAAAATAGCTAATTAGATGAGAGTACATGATTTTCTCTTCCAAAAGATCCTTCTTGTTTAAGAACAGAATCACTGATGAGTTCAGAAACCAGGGGTAGGTGATGATAGTTTTAAATAAGGCTTTACTCTCTTCCATGCGGTTCTAAATGAAAAACAGAAGATTTAGGATAAGCTAGGAAGAAAAACAGTGCTTTGGAAATAGCATGCCGAATCACCGCTTCCATCCATTTGTCCTCTTACCCAGCTGTCGTCTCCAGGTCGCTGGCCTTACTCTGGCTGGGGAGGGAGTGGCAGGTGGTTCCTGCTTCTATTTCCCTCATCCTCACCCTCCCATTAATCACCCTCTTCTGGAACTCCTCTCACGCAAATTCTTCTCTGGCCCCCAAACACATAAGGATATAGGAAAGGCTTTTGTGTAACTTGGAAAAGGAAGGTTGAAACCCAGAATTGACACACGTTTTCTCTGTGTAACTACTGGGATTACCAGGTGGGGGCTGAGATGCTCTTTCACTGGGTGTGGGCTTCCAGACTGGGCCTCAGGAGTCCAGTGACCATGAGAGGAAGGAAGGCTCTTCTGGGAGGGCCACCGGCCTCAGGGACGCTGGTGGAGAAGAGCTGATGCTACCGAGCACCTGCCCTGCACCATGCCTGACAGGCGTGTAGCAGCCGATGCTCTCCCAGGCCACAGGTCCCCATTTATGGGCGAGCATACTGTTCACAAAGATGCAGATGCTTTCCCTGGACTCTACAGTAGCACAATCCAGGGGAAGCTATGTAGACAGTAATAATTTCTGAACATTAGACACTGGCAAGAAAATATTAAATGAAAGTAGATAGGGCGTGTATAAATCTTCTCTGGTGACAATAATCTAGCATTCCGCCCTCTCCCAAGTATTTCTAAGAAGAAAGAAACACTTTCCTTCCTTCCTTTAGACTGGGAAACATGGCCCTCCTGCTATAGAGGGACACCACCTAAATTTCTGCTCCTGTGACTCCCAATGCCTGGGCCCGTTCTCCCACTCAGTAATTTTTGGGGATCAGTTCCAGACTCTGTCCCCAAAAAGGTAAGGTCTCACTTGTTTTTAAAGCTTCTTTAGCATTAATTATGATGTTATCAGTAATGAGCTCCAAGGAACTACCACATATGAAAAAAACCATTCCTATACACCATAGTGAGTGGAGGTAAGACATATCTCCAGCCAGGATAGAAAAGTCTGGAGTGGCAACCACTTCATTTTCCCCCAGATACCTAGGATTTTTCAGAGAGGAGAAACTAATTTCTAAGTATATCAGGCTAAGGTACTCATCCCTGGTGTACCTGACTAATCTTCCCTGAAAAACATTCTAAGTAATTCCTGAGACAAATTTGGAGCTAATTTTTCATATTGATAACTCAATGCCTTTGCTTTAAAAAAATAAAACAATTCTCCACTGGGAGAGCTGGGTGGCAGCCAAGATTTCTATTCTTCTTTGCACAATGACACTAGCAAATGGGCTAATCCACCACTAATTAGCTAATGTAACTGTGCTCCTCAGAGAAAAGTCTGCTTTCAAAAAATACAAGATAGAATTTGTTCATAATTATTGCCTAATCCTGGACAGAATTCTTTATTGATTTCCTTTCATTCCCTGCAGGCAAGAGGTATCTCTAAAAGGTCAAGCGGTCTGGTGCAAAAGGTAGGGGAAAAGATGGTGATTATCACACAGAAAATAGCCCTAACCTCACAAAGAAGGGCCGGGATGGTTCTCTTCACTTTCCTGGCAGATCCAGTTAATGGAATTTAACCAGCCAGTGCCATGGAGGCTCTGCAGAGGGCACCGAATGCCTGACTGGGGTGGATCAGTGGCAGCTGCCCTGAGCAAGTCCTTTCCAGGGGAAGTGAAGGTCAGATGCTGCCCCCAGACAGCTCCAAGCATCGGGTACCACTTCCCTGGCCAGTTTAGCTCAGGACCTAATTTGAGAGCACCATGGAGGTTGGGAAGCCTGTCCTTAGGTAAGTCTATTAGAAATAGTGTTGTTCAACTTTGGTTGTATATGCTCATCCCCGGGGGCCTTAGTGAAGGTAACCCCCAACTCTAAACCAGGAAATAAGAATCTCAACAATAGGGTCCTAAAGATGTTTTTAAATTAAAAAAAAAAAACCCTCCCACTATGCAGCCAAGGCCGAGACCCATGTTTCTGAGTGGCTCTGCCCTTTATGAAGACTAGATGTCCAAGGTCAGGCTATACCTAGTTGTTCTTTAAGGTCCCCTGGGAATTTCAGTGTCCATCTAAGTGTGAGAGTCAGGATTCTAGGTCAGTGATTCTCAGATTACCTAGGATCTTCTTGAGGATCCTGCTTTATTTGGCCTGGGGTGATTCGGAAGGTGTGCATTCCTAACAAGCACCCAGGTGATGCCAGGACTGCCAGCCCACAGGCTACACTTCCAGAAGTGAGGCAACTTAACCTAAGGGATAGGGCCTAATGCCAGAGTGGGCTGGCTTCTTGCAAACTGCAGAAATAGGTTTCTGTTTCCACAGCTAACCAGACTCCCCACCCAGCATACCTCATTGTCACACTCAGCCAGGACCTGGTCATATTCACTCAGAGCAACCAAAAAAATAATGGAGGTGACACTCTCAAAGCAGTGAATCCATTTCCGTCTTTCAGATCGCTGGCCACCAACATCCACCATCCTGTTTAACAGAATAAACATAGAACTCTCTGGGGGGAAAGCACATGGAAATCAGCACTCTTTAGGGTCCTCAATAATTGTTAAGAATAAAGAGAGATCCTTAGATTAAAATGCTTGAGCACCGCTGCTTTAGGCAATGAGGAACCATATGATGTTTCCTAGCAAAGGAGGCAACAGAATGTAAGTGAAGTTACTGAAGATGCATGCAGAGGTCACTCAGATAGAGCTTCTTGAGGATACTGGTTAGGGAGCTGCTGCAGTAGTCCAGGCAGAAGTTCAGGCATCACTTGCGTGGTGCCCAAACCATCCCAGAGTGCCGGGATACCAGACACAAAAGGGCAGGCAGGCTTCTGACTACTCGCCACCTATTTCCTGGCCCCCTCCAGCTAATCCAGATATTCTTTGGCATTAGCTGGATGCTCCCCCTTCCCTAGAAAACCTGTAAGTGCCCTCTGTTTGATGTGGAGACCCAAAGCCTTCGCCTGTGTCTTTGGGCAACTTCAGGGTGTCACAGCCCAAGGGTCAGTCACAAGCTCAAGTGTTCCAGGGCTCAGGCAGTTTACAGAAATGAGTCTGGGGACCTCTCTCACTTAAGGCATACACTTAAGGCATGCTGTGCTGGGCCCATCTAGAGGGAGGTTTTGGAAGGGTTAAGCAGAGATTGATTCTGAAAAGTCTCAAATAAATTTGTGTACACACAGGACATGTGCTCACAGAGATGCCGAGTATCCGGGGGCTAGACTGCACTTGTGCTGTCTCCAGACAGCCATGTGTACCAAGTACTAGGGGGAACGCGGGAATGAACGGATATAAAAGTGCTTGGAAATTTGCAATGATAAACCTTGGAGCTGAGAATAGAAAGGAAGAGGAATATTCAACTTCAGGGAAAAGACCCCAGTATTGCCCATCTGTGGGTTACAGAAATACACATCTCTGTGAGTGTGTTACACACGAGAAGCGTTCCAGACATCAGTAGGGGATCTCTTCTTCTCTAAGGGGAATAGAAAGGTGTGTTTGTATCCACTGTACAACTTGAGACCAACCACAATTCTAATACCCTGTGATGGCGAAGGCCATTATTGCCCTAAGAGATATAAGCCCTTTTAGCAATAACACATCGAAGAACCCATTTGTGGACTTCCAAGCCTGGAGAGACAGACTCTTAATGGACCATGTCAAGGAGACAGACTTACCGAAAGATGATGTTTTCCAGGTCAAAGGGATACTCAATGATGCCAGTGGTGGGCACTCGGACGCGAAGCACATCCTGCTGCGTTGGCACGAATGTTGGCATGGCGATCCGGTCAATGTCCGTCAGGTAGCTGATGTTAGAGACCAAGATGCTGAGAAGGGGGAAGTGCCCCACCCAGAAAGTCACCCCAGCTCCCAGCCACACCCACTCAGGTTCGTGGACTCATCAGTGACTTTCCTGAGCAGCAGCCCTCCAGCCCTCCTAAAACTGTGGAGAGAGTGTGGATCAGAGGCTTTGGTGATCCTGCTGAGACTCAGTCTGCGGCTCTGTCTCTCCTCCCGGCTCCCAGCTCCATCGCTCTGCTGGGGAGGGAGCCGGCCAGGCCACAGGGGCCACGGACGGCGCCTGGCTCCCTGACATTTCATCTGTTCTCCTCTCACAGGCCCTCCTCCAAGACACTGTAGAACGTAGATGCTGTGCTTGGACACTTTACTTTGCTCAGTGAATTAGAGTTAAGGAAAATATAAAAGCATAAATCAGGCCAATGGGAAGTCCTCTCAAAAAGTTCCTTGTTACATTGGGAAATTGCACATCTCCTCAAATAACCCAAAACTTGGCTTGGATTATTTTGGGCCATATATTACAGCCCAGGCTTAAAACAAGTCTCTTTTTCTGTGTTAAAACAAGAACACGCTTCTTTTTAAATGTTAAGGCCTTTGAAAAAGGCACTTTTGAGTAACTAACTGAGGCCCTGGCCAGTGGCAGTGCTGACTTGGAGCCCCCTGCACACGGAGGTGGCCCCCCATAGGCGGAGCTCCCCTAGGTGTGCCGGGGCTGAACAGGTGAACCACCAGGGCACACCCCCAAACACGGCCCCGGGGCTTATCGCTGTGGACTTCTGGTGCTTCAGTTTATGCCTGTCAGCTTCCTCGGTGGCTCAGATGGTAAACAATCTGCCTGCAATGCGGGAGACCCAGGTTCAATCCCTGGGTCGGGAAGATCCCCTGGAGAAGGGAATGGCAATCCACTCCAGTATTCTTGCCTGGAGAATCCCATGGACAGAGGAGCCTGCTGGGCTACCGTCTGTGAGGTCGCAAAGACTCGGACACGACTGAGCGAATCTCTGTGTCATCCCACCAGAGTGTGTGTGCCTTCAGGGCAGAAAGTACCAATTGTCCCTGTAGCCCTTTCCTCAGTGCCTGGCACAGAGCAGACACGCATCACATTTTTGTGAAGTGAAAACCTCTCCAAAGAGGCAGACGGTGGCAGCAGACAGATGATCGCCACTGACCGGACCACGGAAGCCTCGGGTCTCACCTGTTCCCGGTTTATGAGTCCCCTTTTCTCTGCACAGCCCTGTCCGCCCCTCTAGTCACTCTCCACACTCTTCTCCGTGCACTTGCCCCAGTTGCCAGGCCCGACTGAATTCTGCAGCAGGCCTAGTGGGTCTTTTTCAAGCTGATCTGTATCAAGAGCCCTAGCCATTCCTCAGGGCCTTCCCGGAAGTCAGTGACATAGGCTGGACCAGGAGGACTCAGGGATGCCCTGGCTCCCAGCTGTCAGAGGCTGTCTGCCCTCCCACTGGGGACTCTGCCCTGCTGTCTTTGTGCTGATCTAACGACTTCCTGGGTTTCTTTTCATTCCTGTTCCTGCTTTGCTGCCGTGTTGTACTAACCTCGATTCATGTCATTCAGCACTCGGCCTGGGACAACCACCAGAGGAAGGCCAGTGAAATTAAGGAGGTAAGATTCTGGGTTCCTTTCCTGCCCCCTGGCTTGTCAGGATGGGTGAATTACCCACACCACTTTGGAGGGTGATGGCAGCACCTAAAGGGAAGGGGATGGGTCTAGGGAAAGAATTCCAGGGCCCTCAGAGGGTGGAAATGACCCAGAGTAAGAGGGAAGGAACAGAGCCGCAAAAGCAGGAATCCCCACCCCTTCAAAGAAGGACCATGATCCAGCTATTTGCCTAGTGATCTGGGCAGAGGCTTTGTCTTGGGGAATTGTTAAAATCAAATTCTGTGATCTCTGTGGGATAGTTTGCATGCAGAACTATTTATTTCTTTTTACCCTAATAGATTACTGATTACTGCTTCACAAGGAGTTATTGAACAAAGAGCTCCCAAACTGAGCTTTCTTCGTGACCATCTTGTCCACTTGAGGGCAGCACCAGATCAGCCAGTGAAGGGTGTACCGGGCTGTTGGGTCTGAACTCTTGACTTTAGGGCAATTAGACCTGCTCTTTGCTGGTCAGAAAACCGGAAGGCAGAGGGATATGGAGAGGGGGGAACAGAGAAACCAGAAGCAGGTGTAGCCCTGGTTTAAATCATCTAACTTCAGCACCCCAAATGAGATCGGTCTTACCAAGGAAAGCCCACAATTGACTTAGCCTCTCAGTGAAAAGGAAGGTATGGGCAAGGAGAGCTATCTGGGGGGCTCCTTAGGGGGACTCAGTTTAGGAGGTGGGAAGTGAGGCATCAAAACGGAGAGGGAGGCTGTGTTGCCGCTGAGTGCCTGCATTTTAGCAGGTAGCTCATTTCTCCCTGATAAGAAGCTCCTTTGAAGTGTGGCCACAGCCCGGGGCTCTGTACTCACTACTTGGCAGAGTCTGACAGCTGGTACTCCCGCCTCCGATCGTAGCACTCCTGGATTCCAGGATCCCGCCACAGCTGCTTGATGGCCTCCACCTGGTCCCCGGAGAGCGTGGACACCTTGTCTACTTCCACCCCTCTGATCAGCTGGGCATTCTCCTGCTCAGAGGGGGAAGACCCTTTCATCAGGCAAAGGCAAGGAAGCCATCATGTTGGTGACGCAGGGACAAGACTTGCCCTTGTCTGTGGATCAGGGAAGATGTCCCCTAGATGTGGGGTGTGGTGGGTGCCCTTCAGAAGAGCTCCTCACAGCCAAGTCACTCAGTTGCAGCCCCACGGCCTTTGGTCCCAGCAGTACCTGGGGGTCAGCGTCACCAGCGTTCAGCACCCAACTGTGCGTGGAGCAACACTGGAATGATTGATCATCACTGTACTGACCAACATTACTCCCTCATTAGCATGCAACTCGTCTGAATACTTGCGCAGCCCATAGAACAATTTAAAAACAACAGTATTGTTAGTGGCATACCAAGGGCAGGGTAAGTGGGTCCACCCCAGTGCAGGAAAGAAGCAGTGTCATCATCTTCAGAGAATTCAAAAGTCATATCCCAGCCGTTAATCATGAGTCTGCTTTCTCTCTCCTTCATTTTTTAAATATGTTTTAATTGACCTTATTTTTTAGAGTAGTTTTAAGTTCACAGCAAAACTGAGAGGAAAGTAGAGAGTTCTCATGCTTCTTATTATCATGCATCACTAACAAAACTCTTTCCTACGGGGTGGACCACACTTACTGTGCCCCTGACCCCATGCCACTGGCTGCTCTAATACTCCTACTTTATTATTACAGTGAGTGTTAATATCATTATTGCTGTGGTTACTGTTACTACAGCAGTTATCACTTACTACACTCACTGTGTACCCAGGACTCTGCATGTATCATACCATCTGATCAACAGAAAGCAAGCAAGAGGCCAGAAATTTTTCCACACCTTAGTAAATTAAAGTGATAAGATTGACCTGCATCCACAGCACATCTCTGCTTTGGCCTGAGAGATTCAGCATCCCATCCTTGGCTGCAAGTTGCAGCAAACGAGAGTCCTGCTGTGGGAGACAGGAGCCCGCCCTCTTCACTGGATTTCAGGGCAATTACATCATGCAGAGCGGGCAATTCACTGGCAGCTGGGAGTCAGCAAAACATCCTTTGGCAGCTGTGGTCTCTTTAAGTATATACTAACCCCTTGAAAAGTCACTCTTTTCTTGCATTTTTTATCAGGAAGCCCAACAGAAGGCTAGAGGAAAGGAAGAACTTATGGATTCACTTGACTCGGAAAAACCCAGAACCATGATTAAATCAACATGGCTTTCCCTTCCATCCATCAAGAGTGAATATAATCTTCTCCCAGACTGTGGTATCCTCAGGCAGGTGAAGGATCCCCTTTGTAGAGTCTCAAACAAGGTCTGTGCGGGATGGGTGAGCAGAAAGAACCTGGACTGAAAATCAAGACCCTGACCTCTAGTTCAGTGGGATTTAAGGAACCTAGTAGGTTCCCTGCCTCAGCATCGTTATTTGTAAGAGGAGCCAGTGATTTTCATGGGAACCTAATTTATAAAGTATCACCCCAATGTAAGCAGAACTAGCCGCATTATTGCAATACATGCCTAATAAATATTTCTTGTCTGCCAAAACAGAGCACAGTGACAGCCCCTAAACCAGGAGTTCTAGTTCTGCCTGCTGGCACATTTTGTGTCACATGCCCTGTTCTCAACCAGAGAGAACGATGAATGAAGACCACAGACAGTGTCTGTGCACCAGAAGGGCCTCTCCCACTTCTTCCCTCCACTCGCCCACCTCCCACATAGGAGCAGATGGTCTCCACTGGATAATGCGGATGGTGGAGCTTCCCAGGATACCCCCTTTGCCCACACCAGTGTTTGGCTCTTCCAGTAGATAAAAAGTGGCTCCCAGTAAATTATCAGAGAGGAATGCAGCCTTCTACATAAGCTCTGGGGCGGGAGGAATTTAGGGAAAAGACTTTGACCTGGGATTTCAGGTAACCAAGGGAATTCAGCCTGGTGAGAAAGACATATTGTTTGTTCAGCCAAGGGAGGAGATTTGGGGGATATCTTACTTAAAAGAAGAGAATAGAAGCTCCTTAGAAACCCAACAATTGGGACTTTAGAACTAACCAGACTTAGCCACCCAGGACTCTGTGTTCAAAGGTTTTCCTGTCCATCTTTGTCTTCTCCTGGTTAGCTCTACCTGTCTGGATCATCTTTTTTTAACTTCCTATTTAAGACTTGGAAAAAAGGTGGGAAACATGGTAGAACAAGTTCTTCTCTGCCTTTCAAAATTGCCCAAACATTCATACTCTCCTACTTAACTTCATCATTCATCTTCACTCCTTCCATATGTGTTCATACATATACCCACACATGCACATGTAACTCATACATATGCTTTTTCCTGGAAATATCTGAAAGAAAACTGCAGCCTCAGTGCAGTTTCCTAAAACCAAACATACGTAATCACATTGTATAATCATATATAATGATCAATATCAGGAAATTAACAGTGATACAATATTGTAGTCTAATCCTCAAACCTTATCCAAAGTTTGGCAGTTGTCCCATAAGTGTCCTTCATTGGCCCGATCTAGACTCATGTATTGCATTTAGTCAGCTGTCTCTCTAGTCTCCATTTACCTGGAAAAACTGTAGTCAAAGGAGTTGTTTGTGTCACTCTGATCAAGAATGGCCTGACAAGGGGAGAGCTCCCTTGTGGTCCAGCGGTTAGGACTCTGCATCCCCGCTGCCAGGGCCCAGGTTCAGTCCCTGGTTGGGGGGCAGGGTGGGGCCACTAAGATCCTGCAAGCTGCATGGTGCAGCCAGAAAGGGTGTGTTCTTTAGTCACAAGTCATCATGAAGGTGGCTGGTGGACTGGGAGCCGAGCCCCAGAGAATGTCCCAAGGGCAAATATTATACAGGGCAGAGAGGAATGAGAAAAAGGGTGCCCTGGTTTTTAAATAAATTCTATTAAGATGTCAGATGAATGACTTTTGCACATTAACAATGTGTGTTTTTAAAAAAGTGAAGTTTTGGTGGCACAAGACAGAAACATAGACCAATGGAACAAACTAGAAAGCCCAGAGATAAATCCACGCCCTTATGGACACCTTATCTTTGACAAAGGAGGCAAGAATATACAATGGAGAAAAGACAACCTCTTTAACAAGTGGTGCTGGGAAAACTGGTCAACCACCTGTAAAAGAATGAAACTAGAACACTTTCTAACACCATACACAAAAATAAACTCAAAATGGATTAAAGATCTAAATGTAAGACCAGAAACTATAAAACTCCTAGAGGAGAACATAGGCAAAACACTCTCCGACATAAATCACAGCAGGATCCTCTATGACCCACATCCCAGAATTTTAGAAATAAAAGCAAAAATAAACAAATGGGACCTAATGAAACTTAAAAGCTTTTGCACAACAAAGGAAACTATAAGCAAGGTGAAAAGACAGCCCTCAGATTGGGAGAAAATAATAGCAAATGAAGCAACAGACAAAGGATTAATCTCAAAAATATACAAGCAACTCCTCCAGCTCAACTCCAGAAAAATAAATGACCCAATCAAAAAATGGGCCAAAGAACTCAACAGACATTTCTCCAAGGAAGACATACAGATGGCTAACAAACACATGAAAAGATGCTCAACATCACTCATTATCAGAGAAATGCAAATCAAAACCACAATGAGGTACCATTACACGCCAGTCAGGATGGCTGCTATCCAAAAGTCTACAAGCAATAAATGCTGGAGAGGGTGTGGAGAAAAGGGAACCCTCTTACACTGTTGGTGGGAATGCAAATTAGTACAGCCACTATGGAAAACAGTGTGGAGATTTCTTAAAAAACTGGAAATAGAACTGCCATATGACCCAGCAATCCCACTTCTGGGCATACACACCGAGGAAACCAGATCTGAAAGAGACACGTGCACCCCAATGTTCATCGCAGCACTGTTTATAATAGCCAGGACATGGAAGCAACCTAGATGCCCATCAGCAGACGAATGGATAAGAAAGTTGTGATACATATACACAATGGAATATTACTCAGATATTAAAAAGAATGCATTTGAATCAATTCTAATGAGGTGGATGAAACTGGAGCCTATTATACAGAGTGAAGTAAGCCAGAAAGAAAAACACCAATACAGTATACTAACGCATATATATGGAATTTAGAAAGATGTTAGCGATGACCCTATATGCAAGACAGCTAAAGAGACACAGATGTAAAGAATAGACTTTTGGACTCTGTGGGAGAAGGCGAGGGTGGGATGATTTGAGAGAATAGCATTGAAACATGTATATTATCAAGGGTGAAACAGATCACCAGTCCAGGCTCGATGCATGAGACAAGTACTCAGGGCTGGTGCGCTGGGATGACCCAGAGGGATGGGATGGGGAGGGAGGTGGGAGCAGGGTTCAGGATAGGGAACACATGTACACCCATGGCTGATTCATGTCAATGTATAGCAAAAACCACTACAATATTGTAAAGTAATTCACATCCAATGAAAATAATTAATTAAACAAATTTTTTTCAAGTGAACTTTTGGGCAGGTTTCCCTCCGACTTGGCTAAATAGTGTTATACACAGAGTGTGAGCATTTTTACATTCCTGTTCAAACCACCTCTGCAGTGAACCCCATCCTGATCAGGGCGCCCTTATATAACGGGGAAGGCTGTGTGTCATGTAGTCGGACTTTCTGGAAAGAGGGAAGAAATGTTCTCAGAGGGTCAGATTTAGGGAAATGTTAGGTTTTGGGTGGGAGACAGTCTGAGGTGGCTGGTATCTAAAGTGAAGAAACTAGGAAGTGGATAAATAAGATGGGTCTGTAGTTCATGGAAAAGCCCTAGGTTAGGGGTACACATTGATTTGAAATTACCTAACTCATACATTTCTTTGAAAAGAAAAAAATCACAAAAGAGTAAATATTATGTGAGCAAATTCAGCAGATACAAAAACATGACCAGTTTCTCAAACACTGAGTTCATACCTGGCTTTTCCTCTTTTCCTTTCTCAAACAGAACCGCCACTTTCATTGCTCTGAGGAAAGAACACTGAAAACATGTCCTACATGTGCGTTTCACTCGGAAATTCCCAGGGTGGCAGTGGAAGGAGCTGCTCATGAAGCAGTGCCTTGCTGACTTCACACAAGGATGGCTGGCTGCCCGGGTGACAGTCCCTGCTGAGCCCAGCAGGCCCCTCCGGCTGGAATTCAGGGCCCAGTGGGCAACCCTGTTCTCCACCAGGTCCTCGCAGGGAGAGCCCCGGTACCATTAGTCACCCAGCACTGCGGGACCCCGAGCCTGCTCACTCACCAGGGAAGATTTCCCCCTCCTTCGTCAGGACACTGGAGTTCCTGTTCTTTCATCAGGTCCTTAAGTGTTTTCACTGAAATCTGTATTCATTAATACAAGTCTAGATAATAAAAGCCTAATTGCATGATATTTCAAGAGCCTACTGTCATTTGTAGTGCCTATGAACCTCAAAAGTTTTCTAAAATCAAATGAGATTAAAATATACAATTAAAAATGAAAGTTCCCTGTAACATAGTATTTCTGACGTGACAAAATCACGCCCCCCTTGTTTTAACATCTCACATCAAGATCCAGAACTATATACTACATGTTCTATTAAACAAAAATTATGAAATAAAAATTTCAGTGTTCCATAATGATCAGCTCTGAAAGCATTTCAAAAATTGCATACTAAAGAAAATGCTGGTGAATTATGCTAGAGAAAGGAATTTTTTTTTTCTATAAAAAAACAAACAACTTCTGCTCTGATAAATGAAGACTGGGAAATATGGATCAACTCTTCCACTAAGGACAGCTAGAAATGGTGGACAAAATATTTTCAAAAGTATGCTTGAAAATACCAGGAAACTAATGAAGTAACTGCTGGGCCGGAATGTAGGGAAGAAAGGCATCCAAGGAGTTGAAACAGCATTTAGAAAACCTTCCTCCCTGGGGCTCAGCTTGCTCTTGAAGGAGCAGTTGTGAGATTGAGCAGCTCCCTTTTCAACATCACAGGATTAGGGTGGCTGGGATCCAAGGGTTTAGCAAGAGCAAAAGGCCCTTAGAAGCCCTCTGGCTCTGGGTTGGGATCCAAGGGGTAGCTCTTAGGGAGTTTGAACTCAGCTTGGAATCACCACGATCTCAGAAACTGAGCGTCTCCAGACACCTGACAGAAGAAAAGGAGATTTCTTTTTGAAGAGAACATCTTCCTCACCCTCAAATTATTTTCTCATGAATGTCCAGCACACTCACAAAAATAATCAAGCATAAGAAGATAAGACAACTTCAAGAAGAAGCAACAAGTAAAAAAGATGCAAAGATACATTCCTCCAACCCACAGGAAGGAGGAATCTATTATCGTAAAAATGGACTTTAAGGTCTACTTATCAATTATACCTCAGTAAAGCTGGGGGTGGGGGGAAGACTTCTAAAGTATAACTGGAGATAGAGATATTTCAAATGACAAAAAGATTTAGATATAAGGGTACTAAAGTTCTATGCAACTAATGATATAGGTTTAAAATATATAGGAACAAAATCTCTTAGATCTAAATGGTGAAACAGACAAATTTTCATCTTACAGGAAATTGAAACACACATCTCTCAGGAACTGATGGAATAAACAAAAATTCAGTGAAGACACATACAGTTCAAATGTCATAACCAGCAATTTGACTTTATGGACACATGCTGCTTAGTCACTAAGTTGGGTCCGATTCTCCGCGGCCCCATGGACTGTAGCCCACCAGGCTCCTCTGTCCATGTAATTCTCCAGGCAAGAATACTGGAGTGATTTGCTATGCCCTCCTCCAGGGGGTCTTCCCCACCCAGGGATCAAACCTGCATTTCCCGCGTCTCCAGCATTGGCAGAGGGGTTCTTTACCATTAAGCCACCTGGGAAGCTCCATGGACATATGTAGAGCTCTGTATTTAAAATAACTACAGAAGATGGACTTTTCTCAAGCACACCTAGAATATTTACCAAAATGGCCATTTGTTTGAGACTACACATTTTAAAAATTGGTTTTCTAGCTTCCTTTGATCAGTTTTCAATTCCAGTTTCTCTAACAACTCAGCTTCAAGAGGAATGCACTTTTGCATCAGCCATTGCTGTTCACCCCCACTCAAGGCGCAGGCATCTGAATATTTAACCACGGGGCTAAAGCTGCCTAGATTCTCCTGTAGAAAGGCAGTCTTCCACCACACTCAGAATGGGAAGTAAGTTTTTTTAAACCCAATTCAAGATTAAAAGAAACCTTTATTTCTACTCCAACCTTTGCCCTCTTTCTCCTTATCTTTTCTCCAACAAAAATAAATAACAGAATTCACTAGCTACAAAGTGTTGGCATGAAAGGCCAAGCAAGTGACTTTATCTCTTCGTGTCAGTCTAAACTTCAGTGGGTTTAACTTAAAAGGCTCTTTTCAAAGAGTCCTGCCATAAATTACTCTGGCACAAACATCCAAAGCTACAGTGAGTGCTAAATAATGCAGCTAAGACATCGAAGCTTTGGCCCTATCCTGTGTCAACCTGGCGAAGCTGCCATGATACTTCCCAGCACTCCTTCCCTCTGTGATTCTGGGTTTGAATGGGCTGTAAGAGCAATTTGAAGGGGAGGTGGGAGAAGCCAGTGGTCATGTTCTGAAGGTCAGAGCTCCAGTTTAAGGGGCGCGCACCCCCTACACACACACACGTACACACATTGTGGTTAGTCTTCTGGTCCACTCGACTTTTGGAGAAAGGCACAGCTGGGCCTCAGCACCCTACTTGGACCCTCTCCTTCAGCTTGTCCACATCCTGGGGCAGGCAGACATGCGGGTTCCCAGCAAAGGATGCCAGTTTCTGCTGCAGGTCCCCCAGACCGTCACCACGGAGATGTGAGAGGCAGGTGCAGCTTCCAGTTTATCCCCGTGGGGACAAACTGCCTTTGCTGGTTCCGGTTCATCCTTGCTCTGCCTCTTCCACATGCAGTTTTCCTCCCTGACGACCAGCCCTGCTGACCAGATACCAGACACGCCAAGGCAATAGCCTTCCAACACCTTCACAGCCCTAACAGCTACATACAGTGCAATCCCTGCACGAATCCATCATTCCTCATTGCCCTCTGACTTCCTGACCAAACCAGGAATCCTCTATTCTGGCCCATTCAATTCTCTCTAGGGGCAAAAATTCCCTATAGTCTTAGGTCTGGGTGATGGTAACAACTCAGGCCTCAGCTGCAGTGACTGAAACGTCCCAAACTCAGTGAGACACTGGCAGCCAGACTCCACCATCATTCAGGACCCAGCAGCACACGCCTGCTCCACGGGAGACCCGGGCTGCTTTCTGGGGACATGAAGACCAGGGCCCTGCCCCCGAGGGTCCCAGAATTACACCGATGCCTTTTGGAAGAACTATTAATACATCAGATCCACACACAGATGCTGAGAGATCAAAGAAGACATTTCAGCTGGGGATGAGTGAGAGGATGGGCTAAGATTTCCCACCAGAAGTGGCCAGATGCTTATAAGGAGAAGGGCTGTGTCTGCCCTTCCCGTATTCGTGAATGCGGATTCCTGACTGCTTGTTAGAGGCGGCACCATGAATGTGCAGGGGGCAGACCAGTTCTTTATCACCTTTCACATAACATCCCTTTCCCTGAGATGCTTTGGAAAGCACCCGAACTCCCTCAGGTCCCAGGGTAGCTGAATATATTCAAGGTATAATTTACCAACAGCATCCGGTAACCCCTCCAAAGTATATATATGCTCCAAAGAGCAAAGGAAACTACCTCTTAGAAAATCATTTGTTTCAGCCCAGTTTTACTGCATGTGCCCAGTGATCACATAATATGGTCATGTTACATAGCAAGAAAGGATGTTCTATCCTTATCATCATCTTCCTCTCTCTCTCTCCTGTAGTTGAGAGTTTTTAGTTTTTTAAGCACACCAAAATTGGGTTATGAGAAACAGTTCAAAAAAGCAAGAGGAAGATGTGTCTTTTGTGTTTCTGCCTCTACAGAATCTGCTGGGGGGACTGGAGCTTCTATGCTGGACACACCCAGGTCCTCCCCATATAAAGCCAAATGACTGCAGCCAGGGCGCAGATGGTGGGAAGACAGGACTTACAGAGGAAAACAGAGGAGCTGAAAAGAAAGAGAGGCCAGTGAAGCAGTGCCGTGGGGTGGGTGGGGGGCTCCTACAACAAAAGATAGCCCCCAACCCTCCGCCACTCACCTCGAAGAGAAAACAACAAACGCCTTGCTCACCTTGCTGGCTTCCTCCAGCATCACAACCAGCAGTTAGAAATCTTAAGTCTCTCTTTGATATTGGATTATATTTGTGGTCCTTCCAGAAAATAAGGCATAATAAAGGCTTACAGACACAAAAAGCACTGGCAAGTTCTCAATTTCAGAATACGCTGGTTCCAAATATTGTAGAGTTGGTTATTTGGAGTTCAAAGTGTTCTCCCACTAAGAGACTGCTATGGGTCCACCAATCCCGTTTTCTTTTCCTACTGAACACATAGGTCGGGCTCTATTTCTCGGTCTCCCTTGCAGTCACGTAACGTGTGTTCTGTGTGATGGGATTTGGGTTGACGTGATGCGCACCACCACCAGCCTGACCTTCCAAGCCTCCCATGCAATCCTCCTCCACTCTGTCTTTTCCCATCTCTCAGCTGACAGGACGATGAGGGCTGGGAGGAGGGGAGCCTCCGGTACAAGGGACTGGATCCCTGACAGGCGGTGTGAAGCGCAGCCCATTCCCCAGCAGCTCCCGTGTATTGAGATGGATGTGGCCTAGAAATAAACACTGATTTTGCTAGGCCACTAAAGATTTGGTGTTGATCTACTCTGAGGGTATCAAAGTTTATGCATCCGTAGAGAAAGAGGAGTAATGTGAGACTGGAGAAGTCCAGCACTAGCTCCAAGAAACCCATGTGAACCAGCACAGAGACAAACCAACGAGCTGAAGGCATGGACCACAGCCGGGATACAAGGGTTAGTGTGGCTCCTGCATGATCTTTTAAAAATCACTCACCTCTGATTTCATTACTGCCATCCTCCCATCCTACCTCCCAGTGGCTCTCTCTCCAAGGCCCCAGATTCTCAGAAGCAAACAGCATTACTACTTTCTATACACACACTTCCCAAAACTTCACCCCGCTTCTCCCCCATCAAACACTGCAGGTTCCCTAGGCAGGAGGTTGTCAAGCCTGCAGAGAACAGTTCTGAGCAGTTATTTTTCAGTGTCTTTCCTTTATCTGTATCTGAGCCCAGATATGGTAATATCAGAGAGAGCAGTCTCAGCATGTGGATTGACAGCACACACAGGTTTCTTTCACACTCCTTCCCAGTCCAGGATGCAGCAGGGTGGTGGTGGTGGGAAGGACTCTGTTTCATCCGGTTATCCAGGCAGGGACCCAGGCTTCCTCCATCAAGTGGCTTCACCAA